ACAAATTTTATCCTCCCTAAATTCCATCTCCCCAGCACAAATCATATCTCCTTCCCCAAATCCCCTGTTAGCACAAGTCCCCCCCCCCCCCAAATTTCACTTCCATAACACAAATCCTCTTCCTAGCACTAATCCCCTACCACCCCTTTTCCCCAGCTCAAATCCCATTTTACCAGTACAATCCCCCCCCCCCCCCAATCATATTACAGTCCAAACTATTCTCCCCAGCACAGCTATTCTCCTCCCCCCAATTCTGCCTCCTCTGTACTAGTCCCCCCCCCTTCCTTGAACAAACCCCCCTTTTAGCACAAATCGCCCCTAAAGACAATCCCCCCCCCCCGCACAAATTTTCTACTCCCTAAATTCCACCTCCCCAGCACAAATCATATCCCTTTCCCCATATGCCCCCTGTTAGTACAATTCCCCTCCCTCCCAATTCCACCTCCCTAACACAAATCCTCTCTGCCAAATACCCCTCCTAGCACTAATCCCCTACCACCCCCTTTCCCCAGCTCAACTCCTAGTCAACCAATACAACCCCCCCCCCCAATCATATCATGACCCAAACCTTTCTCCCCAGCACAGATTTCCTCTTCCCCCCAAAATTCTCTCTTCCCTGCACTAGTCCTCTCTCCCCTCACCCCTCCTTGCACAAATCTCTCCCCCCCCCCCCTTTAGCACAAATACCCCTAAAGACAAATTCCCCCTCCTAGCACAAATTTTCTCCTCCCTAAATTCCACCTCCTCAGCACAAAGCATATCCCCTTCCCCAAATCCCCCCTGGTAATACACCCCCCCCCCCCCCAATTCCACCTCCCTCACACAAATCCTCACCCCCAAATCCCCCTCCTAGCACTAATCCTCTACCCCCCTTTCCCAAGCTCAAATCCAATCCTATTAATACAACCCCCACCACCCCATCCTATCATGACCCAAACCTTCCTCCCCAGCACACATTTTCTCTTCCCCCAATTTTTCCTCCCCATTAGTCCTCTCTCCTTACCCCCCCCCCCCAAAAAAAAAATTGCCCCTCTTAGCTAAAATGTTCTGCCCACAAATTCTACCCCCCCCCAATCCCCCTCCTAACACTAATACTCTCCCACCCTCCCCAACACAAATCCTCTCAGCCCCCACATACCCCACCTCCTTCTAAGCACTAATCTTCTCTTCTGCCAGCACAAATCATCTCGGCTGGGGATCATGGCATTGGGGACCCGGAGGGCACTCTGCAGGAGATGCAGACATGTGCCCTGGGGGCTAGCAATGCCCCTGCTACTGCCATCAGAGAAGTGATTCACCACAGATCGCTTTGTAGAGCCTGCCATGTTGTGGACCCAAACTTTAGAAGGGAGATAGCATGGGACCTGTTCAGGGGCGGACTGACAACTCATGGGGCCCCCGGGCAATAGGGGATCATGGGGCCCCTATGTCCTTGCCCAAACTCAAAAAAGCCTATGAAAAAGGTACCAGGGGCATCTCATGGGGCCCTCTACTGACCCTGGGCCCTCGGGCAGTGCCCGAGTTTTCAAATGGTCAGTCCACCCCTGGTACGTGTTGCACAGATTGAGGGAGCATGCAAGAGCAAAGGGTAAGGTAAGTATTACTCCTGATTTCTGCACCCCTAGCCTATAACAAGCAGATTACCCTGGTAATGAAGGGGCCCAATGCATGGGTACATTCTGCCTAACTCCGGGAGCTGAACTTCAACTTGTTCTCTGCACCGACTTAAAGCGAGACAAATGTAATGCAAATAAAGTATATTAGCAATTATAATAACTTGCATCATCCTAATTAATTGAAGCCAATTAATTTTTCAAACCGAAATGGCAAAATGTAAAAAAGTTATGTGCCTTAAATCACCCCAGATAAAAGGCGGACCTAATCTAATATGTGTAGGGGCCTTCTTTAGCAGGTACCCTCAGGGATTTTTTTGCATTTGAAGTTCCATTAAAATGGCCCCTACAAAGACATGAATTATTGAAGTTTGCTCATGTCCGTAAATTACATTCTATGTACAATGTGTCAGTGTATGGATTCCCTTCACTATACTGACATCTAATGGCAACAAAGGAGAATGCATGCAGTACTATCAAATACTGTGTATTTCAAATGGATACTGGGCTATGAGCACTATGGAGACCTTCACACCACTGAAAAAAAAAAAAAAAAAAATAAATTTAATAAAAACACTATAGTAGTTAAACTAAATAAGTGCATACATATGCCCTATGAAGACCCTCACCCCTCTGAATTTTTTAAAAATTGATTGAAAATAAATAAATACGTGTAAGGAACCATGATAAGTGGTCAAATTAGTTGCATAGTTACATAGTTAGTCTGGCTGAAAAAAGACAAAATTCCATCCAGTTCAACTATGAAAAAAAAAAAGTTATAATCCCACACCCACAGTTGATCCAGAGGAAGGCAAAAAAAGCCCAGCAAAGCATGATCCAATTTGCTCCTGCTGGGAAAAAAAAATTCCTTCCTGATCCTCCGAGAGGCAATCAGATATTCCCTGGATCAACTTTACCTATAGATGTTAGTATCCAGTTATATTCTGTGTATCTAGGAAATAATCCAGGACTTTTTTAAAGCAATCCACTGAGCTGGCCAGAACCAACTCTTGATTAACCTAAAATATCATGTATTATCTATGAGCCCTATGAAAACCCTCACACCTCAAAAGAGTGATCGAGGTTGAGGTTAGGTCAAATCTCAATGTGCAAAATAATTTACCTCAAATATACATAAAGGTTAGTACAAAAATTTCAAAAACAATAACAAAAAGTCCATATAGACATAAACCATAATCCATAAGTATGAGAAGAAAATTCCAAAATCGATGGTATTATTGTAGACAATGCTGTAAGTGCAAATGTAGATAAACTTGCTTCAAACAGTCACCAGAGTGCGCACCACCACCAAAGTAACGAATGGAGGCTTACTAGAAATGGAGACCCCTTAATTACAGGGGGTCCCAACCAGCTTTATAATGTAGAGCACTGGCAGGTTTCCGTATCACGCCCCAAAGCATGGAACTTCCCAGACTCCAACTCCAATGTAAACTGAAAGTATAATGCCAGACAAGGTCATGAAAGAAAAAACATGCCTCTTATAGTGCAATACGTATCAAAAGATTCTTTATTTGCACAAATAGGATCCTACTTAGAAGCTGTAGAACGATTAAAAGCATTACATGAACCATATCCAAGATGGCCAACAGCTTGATAACGTCAGAGAGGAGGCTCTGCCCGACATGTTTCGTCATCAAAAGATGTCCTCGAGAGGCTCATTTTTTTTTTTTCGATTTTCAGTGGTGTGAAGGTCTCCATAGTGCTCATAACATTTTAAGGGTTCACCTAGCGCAGTATCCATTTGAATTAGCCTTTTAAGAGACAGTATCCTGTTATATAATTGCAGTTTTGTGGCTTCAGTTGATTAGGGATTTGCACAGTTTGATCTTAAATATTGTGTATTGCATGATCCTTACCTGGCACTACCGGGGTCGTTGGTTCGAATCCCAGCCACGGCACCTGGGGTTTGCATGTTCTCCCTGTGCCTGTGTGGGTTTCCTCCGGGTACCCCGGTTTCCTCCCACACTCCAAAGACATGCTGATAGGTTAATTGGATCCTGTCTAAAATTGGCCCTAATATGTGTACGTATGAATGTGAGTTAGGGACCTTAGATTGTACGCCCCTTGAGGGTTAGGGACTGATGTGAATGTACAATATATATGTAAAGTGCTGTGTAAATTGACAGTGCTATATAAGTACCTGAAATAAATAAATATATATATATCTCAAACCTTTAGAATAATCCTTCAATCATATGCAAAAACAAGCCAATTAAGTACCTGAAATAAATAAATCCTGCCAAATCACAAGATCCATCATAAGAAAACAAAGGGCTCCCCATTGTTACCTCCTTTTTTGAAAATTTCAACAAGGCCGAGCATGCAGCAGTGAGAGTCAGAGTGAAATAAAACCTCTGTATATGTCTTCTTGTTCCCAGTCAATATGTCAGACAAGAATAGAGCAATGGATCAGCATGACACCAAGGTGAAAAGAATTGTCAGAAGGAAGGGTCAGCAGTGGCAGGAAATTGGTTGATCTTGGGCTTGGTAAAGTCACATCAGATGACAAAAGGTCCTAATATAGATAAACTATTTTATTTCTTTTTTGCCTTTTTTTTTTATTGCTGCCATTTAGGTTTTACAAGATGAAACTCAAATATGTCACCTTCGAGGATTGCGTCTTTGATGAGTGCTACTTTGAAGATGTCACCTCATCTGGAACTATCTTTAAGAACTGCACTATAAAATCATCTTACTTCCATAACACAGGCAAGACAGCATGCTTTGTTTTCTTTAGGACATCAGTCTGAATCCGATACAGATATTGCTTGACTTGCCTTATTTGTATAATATTTTTCTTCTAAAGTAATCTAATAAATGTAGTGTTGTATACAGGCTATGCTGAAAAAATAGGGAAACATTGAATTATTTATTTTACATTTCAAGTAATTCTGCTTAACCTCCCTAGCGGTATGATTATTTCAGATTTTTGGTGCTGAAAGAGGTACCATTATTTTGCATGGAAATATGTAGTTTTTTTATTGTAGGCTGTAATTTTTAGGAATAACTCACTGAAATCTGTCTGAACAAGAGTTTAGTAAACATCCCGGGTATGATAAAATTTGAAACACAAAATCATAAATTATAATTTAATAAAAAATAATAATAATAATAATAATACATTTAATTCAATAATATAATCAAACCAAAAACACTGAAATTTGAAATATAGCGCCAAGTTCGCACATCGCTGAGCAAAGTCGCAAAATCGTTTTCAGTGTTTGATGACGAATTTCCCCACGAATCATTATCACTCAATTCTGCAAGTGGTTCTGATTTACTATCGCTGTTCTCTAGCCGGTCTAAACCCACTTTTGACCTAAAGGGACACTTTTTGGACGCCATGGACGTTTCTAAGTTTCCAGGCAGAAAGAACAGTCAAAATGCAGACAGGGGACAGGACAAAGCACTCGGGACAAAATGTATGTGAAATGGGTTGAAACAGCAATGTTTTACTATGTAAAATCGTTTTGAAAAAAATTAAATTTTTTTAAAATTTTCAAATTTACGTCCCGACGTCACAGGACCGGAACACAGGAGCCGGATGCCGGCATCAGCCGGAGATGGCCGGGGACGCTGCAGGGGACACAACGCGGGAGCGAAGGACAAGGTAAGTGCTGCAGGGACTCCCTATGCAGCGCCGCATGGTAAGCCCGAGTGTAGCTGGGGTTACCGCTTTTGGTACTGACATTTTACCCCGAGCTACACTCGGGAATACCGCTAGGGAGGTTAAGTGAGGGAGTGAATGGAACTAACTCTCTTTTGGGTGTCAGGTTTCACTTAACTACTTCATGACCTTCATGACTACCCCTTCATAACCAGGCCATTTTATTTTTGCTGTTCAGCACTGTGCTATTTTACCTGGCAACCGTGCAGTCATGCAACACTGAAATTAATACACTGATTTTTTTTTTTCACACAAATAGAACTTTCTTTTGATGGTAGTTGATCACCACTAGGTTTTTTATTTTTTATTATATAAACCAAGAAATTTTGAAAAAAAAATGTTTTCTACTTTCTGTTATAAAACATATCCAATACAAAAATCCAAAAATCAATTTCTTCATAAATTTAGGCCAAAATATATTCTGCTATGGCTTTGGCAAAAAAAAAAAACCCTATAGGTGTAGATTCATAGGTTTATGTGAAAGTTGTAGCGTCTACAAACTATGTGTGTATATTTTGAAAATTGATCAATTCTGATGTACTGATGGCATTTCTTGGGGCCCTTAAAATGCTAGGACAGTACAAATATCCCCAAAACTACCCATTTTTGGAAAGTAGACAGTCTGTGGTATTTAGAAAGAGGCATACTGAACTTGTAATTTCTTGTCACAATTTTATTTTACATACTGTCACCAGTGCAGTACAACATCATGTGACTAGTGTGGCAGTGATCAGTGACACTTTGATTTGCTGTTACATGTATTGGTCACTGTAATAGCAATGTTTTGCACTGTCATGAATAGGTGACATTCATAGCAGCTGTGATTACTATTGTGTGGTGTGATTGGCCACAGCTATCACATGGTACAGGGTGCTGTTATTGGCCAGGGCACCATGTGATAGCTGTGGGCCAATCACAGCATCACTATAGGAATCACAGCTGTTAGAGGAACTGAATTTATTCTCTCTTGAGAAGAGGAGATTAAGGGGGGATATGATCAACATGTATAAATACATCAATGGTTCATATAGTGAACTCGGGGTACTCTTTACATCTGGAGGAAAAGAAATGTAATCTCCAAACATGGAAAGGTTTCTTCACAGTAAGAGCTGTGAAAATGTGGAAGAGACTCCCTCAAGAGTTGGTTCTGGCCAGCTCAGTGGATTGCTTCAAAAAAGGCCTGGATTCTTTCTTAGATACACAGAATATAACTGGATACTAACTGTATTGGAAGCATAGGCAGGACAGAACACACAAAGAAGATGGGGAACACACAAAGGTTTATTGAACTATGAAAGACACTCAATCAGGACAGTTCATGGCACTTCGCGACATGCGGCTTGTAGGGACACCCATGGTAAGCGGGCTCACGGGGACTCAACGGGGCCTTGGCAATGGGGTCTGACCTCAGCACAACCCCCACACAGCTTTCTAGGGACAACATCAGGCTCACGGGGGCTCGACGGGAATTTGGCTGTGGAGTCTGGCCTCAACACAGCTCCCACACAGTGTACTAGGGACGACATCAGGCTCACGGGGACTTGATGGGACTTTGACTGTGGAGTCTGGCCTCAACACAGCTCCCACACAGCGTACTACGGGCAACATCAGGCTCACAGGGACTCGACGGGAACTTGGCTGTGGAGTCCGACCTCAACACAGCTCCCACACAGCATATTAGGGATGACATCAGGCTCCCGGGGACTCGATGGGACTTTGGCTGTGGAGTCTGGCCTCAACACAGCTCCCACACAGTGTACTAGGGACAACATCAGGCTCACGGGGACTCAACAGGACCTTGACTGTGGAGTCTGGCCTCAACACATCTCCCACACAGTGTACTAGGGACAACATCAGGCTCACGGGGACTCAACGGGACCTTGACTGTGGAGTCTGGCCTCAACACAGCTCCCACACAGCGTACTAGGGACAACATCAGGCTCACGGGGACTCGACGGGACTTTGGCTGTGGAGTCTGGCCTCAACACAGCTCCCACACAGCGTACTAGGGGGACAACAGGCTCACGGGGACTCAGCAGGACCTTGACTAGGGGGGCTGACCTCAGCACAGCTCCCACCCAGCTTTCTAGGGACATCAGGCTCACGGGGACTCAGCAGGTAACGATGGCTCAAGCACTCAGGGGCATCCCAGGTAGCTATACTCCGGGCATGCCATGGGGTGGTTCAAGTAAGGGTAGTCTGGGCATGCAATAGGGGCAGCTCATGACAAGGGTGGTCTGAGCGCACAATAGAGACAGTTCATGACACGGGTGGTCTGTGCGCACAATAGGGACAGTTCAGGACAAGGGCGGTCTGTGCGCACAATAGGGACAGTTCAGGACAAGGGTGGTCTGTGCGCACATGGCAGTTCATGGCTTCTAGGGACATTCACGATAGGCGTCTTGCAGATGCTCAGCAGCAGGCGGCTTCCAGGGGAGTAGGTAACTTGCGGACGCTCGGCAGCAGGCGGCTTCCAGGGAGGTAGGCGACTTGTGGACACTCACGGCTTCGGCAGGTGGGGCCCACAGCAAAACAGTTCTAGCCACAGCCCAGCGGGTAATCCGGGCCCCAGAGGGTCAGGCAGGGTATCATGGGGCCCACAGCAAAACAGTCCTAGCCCACAGCACAGCGGGTAATCCGAGCCCCAGAGTATGAGGGGGATGGCAGCGGATCCTCCCACCCTGGGGTATTTAGCAGAGGGTAGCAGGTACTCCCAACCCTCGGGTATTGCAGAGAGCTCAGCAGGGATGGCTGCGGATACTCCCACCCTGGGATATTGCAGCGTGGCAGCGGATTAGTCCTGACCTTTGGGGTATTGTTGCAGAGTGCTCAGCGGGGATGGCTGTAGAGCCTCGGTCCCCCCACCCGGGGCTCCCAGCGGCTTCCAAAGAGGCAGGCTACTCCAGCAGCGGCACACAGGAGAAAGAGACCGGCCTGGTCTCGCGCCGGCCTTTTTTAAAGCCGTGCGGGATGCTGCCGGGTTGCCTCGAGGCACGCACCCTTGATTTGGGCTGCGCTTCTCGTGAGCATGGCCTTTGTCACTGGTGGGCGCGCAGAGCGTGGGAAGCCCTGCACCCACGCTGCGCCCACCGTGGGTGAGCAGAAACCTTCCAGTAGCCGCCCACCGGGATTTCCTGGCAGAGGGGTTACAGCTCTTCCAGCTGAATTGCCGGGGGAGCTGTGACCCTTGCCGCAGCGGTCCCCTCCCCTCGTCCCACACAGCCTGCTTCAAGGCTGTGTGCGGTGAGGGGGGGGAGGAGGGAGTGAGCAGGCGGCACATGTGACACTAATATTTTATAGGTAAAGTTGATCCAGGGAATATCCAATTGCCTCTCGGGGGATCAGGAAGGAATTTTGTTTCCCAGCAGGAGCAAATTGGAATCATGCTTTGCTGGTTTTTTTTGCCTTCCTCTGGATCAACTGTGGGTATAGGATTATAACTTTTTTTTTTAATGGTTGAACTGGATGGACTTTTGTCTTTTTTCAGCCAGACTAACTATGTAACAATGTTATGAATTAAATTAATTCATAACAGCTCTGTTGACGACATGATCATGTGATCGCATAAAACTAAAAATGCACAAAAAAATACATAGGCTCACAACCCATGCAGGGGCGGACTCCACAGTTGCAGGACAACCTGGTTGCAGGAAAGAAAATTTAATCATCTATAGCTTGGTTTAGTTCACACTTTAGGGTGGAGGGAAGTAAAAAAAACAGTTTACACTTACATAGTTACATAGTTAGTCTGGCTAAAAAAATACAAAAGTCCACCCAGTTCAACCATAAAAAAAAAAAAGTTATAATCCTATCCTATCCTGTTGATCCAGAGAAAGGCAAAAAAACCCAGCAAAGCACGATTCAATTTGCTTCTGCAGGGAAATAAATTCCTTCCTGATCCCCCGAGAGGCAATCGGTATTCCGTGGATCAACTTTACCTATAAATGTTAGTATTCAATTATATTCTGTGTATCTAAGAAAGAATCCAGGACTTTTTTTAAAGCAATCCACTGAGCTGGCCAGAACCAACTCTTGAGGGAGTCTATTCCACATTTTCACAGCTCTTACTGTGAAAGAAACCTTTCCATGTTTGGAATTACATTGGAGCCAAAATGGGGGCAAACTGCACCTGCTCAGTTTAGTGTGTATTGCTAGAGAGATTTTTTTCTTTCTCGGGAGAGTGCATGTGATCAGCACAGGGCCAATCAGCACTGTCCAGACAGAGGTTCAGGGGTTATGCAGCCTCATAGGACAATCAGGGGAGCATGAAAACTCCTACAACCATTAACCAGTGCTCTGCTGGACACTGATAGAAGTCATAAGACTGCTCTATAGTTCTGATGAGAAAAGGTATTTAGCAGTTTATATTTAGTAAAATAATTGCACTTCCATGTTCTGTGTACTGTGAGAGACCGGATATAGTGAATGCAGGGTCCGGGGTTTAGTAACACTTCAAGGCCACTAGATAGAGCTGACAATCGTAGGAAATAGAAAACTACTTTATGACCTGCACTTGGGTATAAATTATTACGTGACTGTGTACACCAGCCATACGGGATTTTTCCCACTAAGTGCATTAGACTCTAATCTAAGAGTGCACACAAGTCGGTGAGTGAGGGGTACCACCAGTGGGGAGCACAGTGTGTGATTTTCCAGCACTTTTAAGAAGATCACTGCACAGATACGGTTATAGATTGCACGGTTATCGACAGTGTATGGACTTCATGAACAATCATTGTATGAGATGCTATGCATATGTTGGTAAATATTCCTACGAAGCTCTTAAAGTGGAGATCCACCCAAAAGTGGAAGCTCCTCTTATTTGCCTCCCCCCCCCCCACTGCTACCTTTTGGGGGGCAGCAGATACTTGATTCGGCCCCCTCTTTCCTCCTGCAGTCTCCTGGGAAACCTTCACAGGTCCCAGAAGACTGCTGATCCAATCAGGAGGCACAGTGTGACTCGCGCATGCGCAGTGATCACCAGGCTGTGAAGCCACAAGCTGTCACAGCCTGATGCCTACAGT